GAAGAGAAATTGAAGAACAAACTGATGAAGATGGATCGAGATTTTTGAAGACTTTGACACAAATTTGATTTCCAAGCAAAGTGTCAAAGGGGAGTTTGTTGGGTATTGACACTTTGTTGTCAATCAAATTATATGTTGTAATTGTGGTACAAAATGTAAGTCTAGTTTGGTTGAAAACCAACTAAGACATGTGGTGAAAATTGTAGGCAAGTTGTCCTTAAATTAAGGGGAGTGGCATGTGAGTTGATAGTAGTGATGGTTAGTAGATTAGTTGGTAGAAAAATCTTGTAAAAGCAATCAACCTTTGGCTATAAGTATGGCCGTGTATCTCTACCTTTAACACAAGAAAATACATTCAAAATGTAGCCATATACTCTCTCCCTCTCCTCTGTTCTGGTCTTACCCCAGCAGAGTGAATGCTTTGTTTTATTTATGTTTTATACTTGTTTTATGTTGTCTTTTATGTTGATTTACACTGCCATCTTCCCCACATCTTCTCCACACAAAACCACATTTTTATTGAGTTGTTATACTCTATTTTGTTGAGCTAAGATCAGCTCCATCTCCCCCTCGATCTACCTGTTCTTCATCACTGAAGATGGTCATCCTATAGAAGGATGAACCACTCATTTCTTCACACCATTGAGCACAACTTCCACACAAATGGAAGAGCTGTAACTCTTCAGATCCTACAATTGGTATCAGAGCATTGAGCTTACAGGTTGAAACTTGCGTCCCTCCAATTTTGTGTAAAACATGCAAAAACGTGAATGTGATCATCCGGGGGTGTTCATCCATGTAAAAACTAAGTGCCATGTGAATTTAAGCATGTAAAAACCCAAAATTCCATTTAAGCATTTTAGCGAACATACAGTATGTACAACTAAAGGCTAGAGTGAGGAAAATAGATAAACATCATTTAAAATCTGAAATTTTTCACCACATACTTAATACCCAACATCTACCTATTCCCTTCCACCGATTAGAAGCATAAAATTCCAAACCAACTTCAATAAATCAAGAAAATAGCAAAAAAATTAGAACTTGGCCAAGTGTAGTTATTGAACTTAAGTTTGTTAAAGTTTTGTGAATACAAGTGTTGAATCCTTCCTGAAGACCCAAGTGAAATTTGTAGGGGATTTGAAGAATTTTGGTGTATGATCACAGTAATAGAGAGAAAGAAACGGGTATGGTGTATTTTTGAACAGTGTAGGCCAACAAAAACTTGATTGTAAAACTTTTGTTGCTGTCATGAATACTGCAAAATGACCCCCATACGGTGAAAAGTTGCAATACTCCAACAAGTAATTTTTCTCTTCTTTTGGCACACATCGAAGAATTATTTGATCTGGACCCCATCTATAAAGAAATATATCATCCCAAAAGTAGTGTTTATGATCACTGAAAAATTTCTTTTCTTCTCATGACTCAAGTAATCCGACGTAATGATAGAATTTAACAAATAATTCACGTTGTCTATGTACCATGACACTGTCTCAATTTGAAAAAACATCTCATCTGGGAATACTTCATTGATCTCATCTATATGATTTGATTTTTGTGATTCTAGGTGAGATAGGTGATTTGAAACTATATTATCACCCATTTTTTGTCCTGGATCTCTAAATCAAACTCCTACAATAGAAATATCCATTGAACGAATCCTGACTTCACATACTTTTTGCTCATCAAGTACTTTAGCGTGCATGGTCTGTGTACACAATCACATTCGACCCAATCAAGTATGACCTGAATTTGTCAAAACCAAATAACACTGCCAAAAACTCATTCTTTGTAGTAGCGTATTTCAACCAGAGTCTTGTTGGAGTAGTGAATCACCTGTGTAATCTTCTTGTTGTGCTAATTAAAACTGTCTCTACTGCACAGTTACTAGCATCACAGATCCCGTTCAAATGGTAATTCCCAATCAGGAGCAACCAATACTAGAGCTAAACCTAGCTTTTCTTTTAAAGTGTTGAAAACAACCAAACACTCTTTAGAAAAGTGAAAAGGTACACCCTGTTCTAACAAGTTGCAGAGGGGCTTCGTGATTTTAAAGAAATCTTTGATAAAGTGACGATAGAATTCGGCATATCCCAAGAAGCTTCTAATTCCTTTCATTGAAATTGGTGGAGGTAGCTTCTCAATCACCTACATTTTTGCCTTGTAAACCTCAATACCTCTAGCTAATATCAAATGTCCCCACACAATCCTTCTTAAACCATGAAGTGACGCTTCTCCCAATTAAGCACGGGGTTAGTATCCTCACAACGCTGCAATACTAACTCCAAGTGATCTAGGCTTTCATTGAATGAAGTTCCAAAGATTGAGAATTCATCCATGAACACCTCAATAATATGCCCCACCATATCAGAAAAGATGAATATCATACAATGCTAAAAAATGGAAAGGACATTGCATAAATCAAACGGCATCCATATGTAAGCAAATGTGAATGTGGTCTTCTCCTAATCATCTTGTGCTATTAAAATCTAATTGTACCCCAAATAGCTGTTAAGAAAATAGTAATATGCATACAATGCGAAGTCTCTCCAACATCTGATCAATGAATGGAAGGGGAAAATGGCCTTCCAAGAACATTGTTGAGTTTGCAATAGTCAATACAAACTCTTCAACCCATGACTATAGAATTTAGAATTAGCTCGTTGTGTAACGCCCCAACCCGCATGGATTGAAACGTCACAAGATTAACTTTACTTTACCTTAGATCGTAGACTTAATTAATTAATTAACTATACATCAACATACCGTATATGCAACTTATAACACATACCGTATATGCAACTTACCAGATATGCAACCAACATATCGTATATGCAACTTACACACCGTATATGCAACTAACACACCGTATATGCAATATTGACGTGAAATAAAAAAAATGTTGCTGCTTTTGTTTTCTATCTCAATGGCAATTTCAAAAATAATTTTGTTTGCATAGCTATCGACCCCGAAACTTCATGAATTTTATAGTAAAATAGGAAATTCTTTATATTATGACATATCCAAAAATTAACTTCCATCGGTAACATATGAGATATTAAAATATTTTTCAAAACCCCGAAGCGACTCAATTTAGAAGGTACACAGCGCAGTTTACTTAAAATGACATATAAAATTCTACAAACGTCGGATCAATATGATTTTTACTTGATTCAGTGGATAATCCATGAGGTTATCAAACGCCACTGGTTTGTCCAAAAATTCTAAGTAACGATTGAGTTATGAATTTTTAAAGTCAAGGGCAGAAGAAAATTCTACCGACATCGGATTGACATGATTCCAAGTTTGCTAACCTATGAGGCTATTAAGCTCCACTAATTTTGTCAAAAAATTCCAAGTAAAACTTAAAATGACATATAAAATTCTACAAACGTCGAATCGATATGATTTCGACTTTATTCTATAGCTAATCCATGAGACCATCAAACGCTATTGGTTCTGTCCAAAAATTCTAAGTAACGATTGAGTTACAAATTTCTTTAAAGTCAATGGCAAAAGCTAAAAAACAGCAATACTACCGAGTGCAATTTGCATTAAGGAACATATAAAATTCTTCCGACATCGGGTTGACATGATTCTAAATTTATTCGGTAGCTAACCTATGAGGCTATCAAAGGACACTGATTTTGTCGAAAAATTTCAAGCAACGTTTGAGTTATGAATTTTTGAATTTCATAGTAGAAGCTGAAAATTTAGAAAAATAGCAACCATCGATGATTGAGTTATGAATTTTGAATTTCAAAGAGCGAATGCATTTTAGGAATTTGGAAGCGCAACCATCACAGTGCAAATGAGCCTTCAAAACCGCAGTAATAATATCATTCACTCCAATAGGTACAGAATCAAGAACATCATACCTTAGATCGACGTAAACGGAAACAAACCCAACTAGATTTTCATCTATAGGCAGAAAGATGAACAATTACAAGAAAAAAAAAATTTAGACGAAATAACATAAAACCTAATTAAAATTAATACTAAGATTTTGATTGTCAAGTCTTTCTCCCCTCACTCTTCTTTAACACCCCACCTGCAAACAACTCAGTCTCATCAGTTTTCTTCAGGGTTAGCGAATGTTAACATTAACACTTCATTTCATAATCAAAGGTATGTCCTTTTTATGATCATACATTTCTCGATTTCACAACATATGTATATCTTCAACACATACTAATTAACCGTTTCTTGATCAATTTTGCAGCTTGGAATTTGATTGATCCACAAGGAGATAATGAAGTTCCTAAGGTTGCAAACTTCCTCGGCATGGAAAAATCCAAAAATCATACGAAACTTGTACCCTACAAGGAAAAATCAGCAGACTAAATGTAAAAATAATAAATTATTTATTGAAGTAAAAAATAATGCAAATAACCTATATGGTCAGCTTTCTGTAAAAAAAAAAATTAAATTAGAAAACTACATCTAAAAACATAAAAAAATAAAATTTCTTAGTACCTACCGACGTGATTAAAAGAAATCGTGGTTTAAATGCAGCACGATTGAAGCTCACAATGATCCTAAAAGGAGAAACGAAAAAAGAAAGTCAATAAAATCTTAAACTAATCCTTCTTCTTGTACTATATAACAATATAATATATAAATAAATACATTTTTTTCTTCCAGCAAGTATAAATTATGTATTAATGTAGTTCTATTGTCAGTTATCAGGAGACATACTATTGCTGTTTAACAAATGTAAGCAATCCAAATAGCCCGAATTGGATCTGAATGATTATTTGCTCGAACAGAATGTGGGAATTCAGATAAAAGTCCTCAATTTTACAATAATAATGCACCGGCTGGAAATTATTTTCCCATGGGGATTTCAACATCAAAGCCATCTTCCACTTTAAAAAGGCTTTCATTTGTTGATTCTTCGAATTATGCTTCGCAAAATGGGACGAATCTGATCAAAGACAGAGATCCATTTCCTTCACCCTACATGCTTCAATAGGCTCATCTAATACCCCAATTTAATGTGGAAAATTTACTCCATTATCAGCAACCCGTGCCTAATGGAAGAAATAGATTATGTTCCCGTTTTAGAGTGCCTCAAAGGGGGTGTTGAAGCTTTTGCCAGAAAGGACAGTTTGATCCTTCAAGGGGATGGTATAAATAATGTATTTAACAGAGGATATGGTCGTCCCAAGGAAAAAAATACTATAGGTTTCATGCATGACAGTGGCACCGGTAAAGCTCAAGAAATCATTGATGTTCAAGAAAGTGGTCGGACTGCAAAAATGCATATCCCTTTCTCCTTGCCATCAAAGTGTAGCTCCTTGACAGATCTCAAGGATACATATATATCACATAGCGAAGGATCAGCATAGATGCCGACTTTTGCAACAGATATTTGAAGAAGGGACTCCTCAAGATGTGCAGCTAATATTTAGTGAGATAGTTGATCATGCAGCTGAACTTATGACAAATCCATTTGGGAATTACCTTATGCAAAAACTGTTGGATGTGTGCAATGAAGAACAAAGTACTCAAATTCTGCTTAGGGTGACTGAGGTGCTAGAGTATCTTGTTAGGATCTCTCTCAATACACATGGGTAAGTTGATCTCATTTTTCTTTGCCGTCATCATTCTTCATGTTGATTTACCACTTTATTCTTTTTTTATCAGCACTCAAGTGGTCAAAAAGTTGATTGAGACACTCAAAACAAGGCAACAAATTTTGCTAGTTATTTCAGCCCTTGAGCCAGGCTTTCTTGCCTTCATCAAAGACCTAAATGGTAATCACGTTGTTCAGCAATGCTTGCAATGTTTTACCAATGATGATAGTACGATATATGCTTTTCTTGTTAAATTTTTTTTAGCTCAATAATATTTAAAGGCATGCAATTATATGTCACTTCATCTACCATTTTGATGTCATATAGCCATGTCTCTCAATTTTCTGTCATTTGTATGTTTATAGGTTGAATATGAAATATTAAAGTGGAAATTGTTGGGAGAAATTCCATCTTCCATTATGATTCAATATCTGTGAGTTTTTCAATACAAATAACGTATATGGCTGATATGGTTCGTCTTATAGTCTTAGTTATCCACTCTTCCATCTTCTCTCACTCTAAGATTGTTAAGAATTGATACCAGCTACCAGCTCAGCTCATCCCTCTCCACATCAGCATACCAAGTCACCAGCTCTCAACCTTGCTGTCCTAACCGTTTGTCTTGTTGTTATGTTGGACCACCAATTTGTTATTTAAAGATTCCAACATGATCCTTGATTTTAGGAACAACCTAACAGCTGTGTTAATCTAGATCCTTCTTGTGTCAATAGCCATGTATTATATATACAATAATCTCTATCAATGAAAATACGGTTGAGTAAATTATCATCTCCAGCCATTAACATTTTAACTTGGTATCAGAGCCTCAATGGCAGACGCCAGCCTTAACCTCAAAATGCCAATCCAGTCACAGCCTCTGATTCCATCTCCAGCAGCGCTGCTGCACCATTGGCTGAAAGTAATCAGCTCTCACCATTTGGTGTGAATCTCACTCAAACCGTGTCTATAAAGCTGGATAAAAATAACTATCTATTATGGAAGAATATGATTCTACTAATCATCAGACGGCACAACCTGGAAGGTTACATTCTTGGGATAAAGAAGTGTCCTCAAGAGTTCACTGGTACTCAAGTTTCTGGTGAAGCACCAGTATTGAAGTGATAAAAAATCCCGAATACTGCCAATAGATGTCAACAGATCAGCTGTTGATGGGATGGCTTTACTCCTCAATAACTTTAGAGATAGCAATGCGAGTGATAGGTGCAGCCAAGTCAAGTGAACTATGGACTGCCATTGAAGAAAGTTATGGAGTTCAGAATAGATCCAGGATAGTGTTCCTACTGGAGAACTTCAAAAATGTAGAAAAGGAAATATGAGCATAGATCAATACCTCAACAAGGTGAAACAACTATCTGATAACTTAGAGATTGCTGGAAAAACTATTACTCTCACAGACCTGATTACTCAAGTATTGGCCGGACTGGATGAAGATTATACGCTAATCGTAGTTCAAATAAATACCAAAGATCACATGTCTTGGGGAGATCTCCAATCCACATTAATGACCTATGAAAGTAGGCTGGAACACCTCAATTCAATCAGGAACGAGATGACAGGCCTGAACCTTAACCAAACCTCAGTCAACATCTCTCAGAGAACTGGCTTTGGTCACAACTACTTCAGGTCTAACAGGCCAAATGCAGGAGGAAGATTCACTAATTTTAACCACTACAAAAGTGGAAGAAGAGGCAGAGGCAGAGGAGCAAACTCCTTTGGAGGAGATAGACCTGTTTGCCAAGTTTGCGGAAAAATAGGACACAAAGCAAATATCTGTCATTTTAGGTATGATGAAAGGTACTCTGGAACTTTGCCAAATCAAAGGATCAATCCACCATCTGCAGCATTCATAGCCTCTCCTAACACAGTTGGGGACCTAGCTTGGTTCGCAGACATGGGTGCCAGCAACCACATCACATTAGAAAGAGAACACATTGCTTCTTCAAGTGAGTATACTGGTAAAGAGAAGGTTGTAGTAGGAAATGGAAGTAAGCTAAGCATTTCACATTTTGGAACAACACACATCCCTGCCTTGAATGATAAGACGTTGGTGCTAAATAAATTGCTACACGTGCCTGAGATTAAAAAGAATCTAATCAGTGTATCACAACTTACCTCTGATAATAATGCCTTCAAGGAATTTCACCCCTCTTGTTGTTTTGTTAAGGACTTGTCAACGAAGGAGGTGATGCTATAAGGGAGGCTTAAAGATTGGCTGTATCAACTGGAATTCCCTCATCAAAGCATAAATCAATTACATCAGCAATCAAGCTTCTCAAACAAACATTACTGCAATTTTTCTACTGCCCCTACCAGTCAAAAATCATTTCCTAATTTTCTTGTTCATTCGAGTCTAGAGTCCCCTAATGTTGATGTATGGCACAAAAGACTTGGGCATCCATCTAGTCTAGTGATGAACCAAGTCTTTAAATTCTGTAACTTGAAAGTTAAAGAAAATACCATCAAGTCATTTTACAATGCATGTAAACTTGGCAAATCTCATTTACTGCCTTTCCCTCTATCTTTATCACATGCTAAATCACCTCTAGAATTGGTATTCACTGACATATAGGGACCTGCTCCAGTACCATCAACCTCTGGAATCAAATAGTACATAACCTTTCTAGACGATTACAGCAGGTACACCTGGATCTACCCTCTAAAATTGAAATCTGAAGCATTGAAGGTTTTCTACCAGTTCAAAAAACTTGCTGAAAATAAAATAAACCACAAAGTAAAGGCCTTACAGGCTGATTGGGGCGGGGGGGGGGGGGGGAATTCAGAGCCTTTACAACCTTCCTAGCACAAGAGAGAATAGAGTTTAGGCACCCCTGTCCTTATACATCAGCACAAAATAGCCGAATAGAGAGGAAACATAGGCACATAACTGAGACAGTCCTAACTCTGTTGGCTTAGGCTCAGTTGCCTCTGAAATATTGGTGGGATTCCTTCCACACTGCAACATACCTCATAAATCGACTACCTACTCCCACTCTAAATCAGCAATCTTCCTTTCAAACTCTTTACAAAAGAGAACCAAACTACAATGCACTAAAAACCTTTGGATGTTCCTGCTATCCATGTCTAAGGCCATACCAAAAACACAAGTTTGGCTTTCATTTAACAAAGTGTGTCTTCCTAGGGCATAGTGATGCTCACAAAGGCTACAAGTGTCTAAATTCCTCAGGCAGATTGTACATTTCCAGACACGTTGTCTTCAATGAGCTTGAGTTTTCCTTTCAGTCTCTATTTAAAATTCAACCTCAGTCTGAGGAACCTGAAATAATTGTCCCCTATTCCTACTTACCATCTGATCCAAACACCAGTATTACAAGTCCAATTGATACAGCTCAAACTGGAGCAACCCCTGGCCAGCATCACATGCCTTCTGACTCAAGTAACAATCAACAAGCTGATAATCTTCCTAATGACAGTCATAGTGAGCCTGATAGAATTGAAGTTGATGGGAGTAGTGAACCTGAATATGCTGAAATAGAAATAGAAGTGATGTAGGGTTCTGAGATGGATCAACAAGCAGAAGAAAATCGACTTTGGAGAAATGAGATTCAAGAGAAACCAAGAACTCAAAATCAGCATCCCATGGTTACTAGAGGAAAAGCAGGGATATTCAAGCCAAAAGCATATCTGGTAAAACCAACTGAGAATCACTTGAATCTATTAGAACCCAAAAATGCAAGGGAAGCAATGATGAATACCAACTGGAAACGAGCCATGGAAGAGGAATTGAATGCATTAACCAAGACAAAAACCTGGAAACTTGTTCCTGCATTGCCTACTTACAACATAGTAGGTAATAAATGGGTTTTTAGGATAAAACGAAATGCTGATGGCTCAGTTCAATGATACAAGGCCAGGCTAGTTGCAAAAGGTTTCCATCAAGCACCTGGAATTGACTACTATGAAACATTCAGCCCAGTGATTAAACCATCCACTTTGAGGATCATTCTTACACTGATAGTGGCTAAGGATTGGACTATCAGATAGGTCGATATCAACAACGCTTTCCTTAATGGCGATCTTGAAGAAACTGTCTATATGAATCAACCTAAAGGCTGTGTGGATGAATCAAAGCCAAACCATGTATGCAAACTTGAAAAAGCCCTCTATGGACTGAAAGGCCCCAGGGCTTGGTATGAGAAGCTGAAATTCACCTTCTTGGGCTGGAAGTTCAAACAATCTGCAGCAGACACCTCCCTGTTTTATTTCAATACAGAAAAGTAGGTGATCTTTGCTCTTATCTACGTAGATGATATTGTCATCACTGGTAATGATAAAGACCTGATACAAAGCTTCATAAGTTCACTCAACAAGGATTTGCTCTGAAAGATATGGGAAGATTATATCATTTTCTTGGGGTTGAAGTTGTATGACACGACTCTGGCATCCATCTTATTCAATCCAGATACATCGCTGATCTGCTCAAAAGATTTGAGCTTGAAAACGTAAAACCTTGCCTTACACCTATCCCTTCTAGAAAAACTATCTCCAAGACTGATGGTGAAGCACTGGCAGAACCATTAATTTACAGAAGTGCAAGTGGGGCTTTGCAATATCTCTCACATACAAGACCAGATATTGCCTTCACTATCAACAAGCTAAGCCAATTCCTGCAAATCCCAACTTCTACTCACTGGCAGGCTCTGAAAAGAGTTCTAAGATATCTCAAAGGCACCATAAATCATGGCTTGTGGATCCAAAGAAGTGACCAATTAAGTCTAAGTGGCTACTCAGAC